CTTCAGCTGGAGTAAGTCATTTTTTATATTAAATGTCTTCCTGATTTCCTCTGGTGTTTTGCCTTTTATCATATTGGCGACTGTCTTGCAAGTCGCATCAAGGAGGCCTTTGATGTCCAGATAATTTGCTGCCTATATAAAGAATATAGAAACATCATTACACAATTGTACTATCGCAATTTGATATTAATTTTGCAGTTTGGTGTGGCCTCATTTGTTATTTCATATACACAGATTATAGCAATACTGATGCATTACTATACACTTAAATGTGATTGCATTTTTCATTCAGAAATGTTTTTGTATTGTTTTTAATGTTTTATTTGGCATTAAATTATGATGAGCACAAGTCATGATATGAAAATGTTTGCCCAGATGAACACAAGTCATGATATGGAAATGCGTGCCCAGATGAACACAAGTCATGATATGGAAATGTGTGCCCAGATGAACACAAGTTATGATATGGAAATGCGTGCCCAGATGAACGCAAGTCATGATATGGAAATGCGTGCCCAGATGAACGCAAGTCATGATATGGAAATGCGTGCCCAGATGAACACAAGTCATGATATGGAAATGTGTGCCCAGATGAAGACAAGTCATGATATGGAAATGTGTGGCCAGATGAACACAAGTCATAATATGGAAATGCGTGCCCAGATGAACACAAGTCGTGATATGGAAATGTGTGGCCAGATGAACACAAGTCATGATATGGAAATGTGTGGCCAGATGAACACAAGTCGTGATATGGAAATGCGTGCCCAGATGAACACAAGTCATGATATGGAAATGTGTGCCCAGATGAAGACAAGTCATGATATGGAAATGTGTGGCCAGATGAACACAAGTCATGATATGGAAATGTGTGCCCAGATGAAGACAAGTCATGATATGGAAATGTGTGCCCAGATGAAGACAAGTCATGATATGGAAATATGTGGCCAGATGAACACAAGTCATGATATGGAAATGTGTGCCCAGATGAACACAAGTCATGATATGGAAACGTGTGCACAGATGAACACAAGTCATGATATGGAAATGCGTGCACAGATGAACACAAGTCATGATATGGAAATGTGTGCACAGATGAACACAAGTCATGATATGGAAATGTGTGCACAGATGAACACAAGTCATGATATGGAAATGTGTGCACAGATGAACACAAGTCATGAAATGGAAATGTGTGCATAGATGAAGACAAGAGACCCATTTTCCTCCCAAAAAAGCCACACAGTGACTTAAAAATTATATACATTATTATATATAGCCGACACATTAGGAGATATTTACCAAAATAAGTTCAAATAATGTTCCTTGATCTACTTTCAGGAACTCAATATCATAAGGACTGAGATCATCTGTTCTTTTTTCACGGTTTTCTTCATCTTCTGGTGGCGGTGGGTCATCTTTGTGATGAGTACACCACTGAATTACTTTTTTTAAAATAGCAGCATTGACATTGGGTAAAGGAATAGCATCATCATCATCTTCATCCATACCAAGATCTAAAATATTAACAAACATAGTTGAACTCTAGTGACCTTGCCTTTTGCTATATAATATTATATTCCCTTTATCATAGTTTGTTTCAATATGAATATGCATTGTCATAATTAATTTTGAATACAAACAAGTTTACTGAATGTACTTGATAGATGTAAATATCTTACAAAAACATTGATGCCTAATTTGTTTAATTATTTTGAGGGACATAATTTCCAGCTTTATTCAAAGTAATTCAGATATTTTAGTATAAAACAAGTGCCTCATCTCAGAACAAGCCATGCATGGCACAGTCCCAGTTAGTTATAAAATTTAAGATATATAGTTTTATTTATAGTAATATAGCTGGAATATAACCATGTCAGGAATATGATTTTTTAACATTAAAATGATTGACATTTGTATCTGATCGTCAAACAAGTACTTGTCCATATTGAGAGATGTATATATATAACATGATTTATAACGAATATATAAAATTTTAATATACCGTATTTGTCTTCAGTTAAGCGCCACCTTCAATTAGACGCCAGTGCCACAAAAACTTTGTATTTTACACCTCAATTAAGCGCCAGACAAAGTTGAAATTTTGGCACGTAATGATAGTGAATTGGGCGCCGGCGGATCGACTACCGGTTACCAGTTCGTAGCGATGGACGCGATCGCGGAAGTCCCTCGCTGTTACTGTACGAATGGCTTTTATGTAAAAAAAATTGGTTTTGTTTCTAACAATTTTTAAGAATCGGTCTATAATCTCTTGAAACATGTCTTTTTAGTCTACTGTAGAAAATATCAGCGTGGTTTTTAATTTCGCAGTAAGTCCATAAAAACGAAATT